TTGCCGTTGCCGTTGCCATTTCCATTGCCATTGCCATTTCCATTGCTATTGCCATTACCATTGCCGTTGTCATTCCCATTTCCGCTCCCGTTCCCGTTGCCGTTCCCATTTCCGTTCCCCTTGCCTTGCCCCATAACGAAGGCGGCTTCCATCGAAACAAGGATGACGAAAAGAGCCACCAAAATGTGCGACATTGTAATCCTAGCCATTTTTGGCTACCGTAATTTATATATGTTTCTCTTCTCCTGTTGAATTTTACTTTGTGTTATGAGATGAAGGATTGATGAGAAAGAATGGGAACAACAAGAGATTATATAAGGGAGTGATGAGGGAACCCTAGCCTTGAGATTCGGCTTATTGCTTCTGCACGTATTCAAAATTTTCCAATAATAAAAAATATAAAAAAAAAAACCTTTTGATAGCCTTAAGCATTGTGATATTTCTTTAACTTTGTCAAACGCTTTTTGGCAATATTTTGTGTATTTTGCATAGCTGCACATTGCAATTTTGCAATTACAATTATTCTTCACCTTGGCAAGCGACGCTAGTTTTATCAAACTTACTAATGATTGCTAATCACACTTTTTTGTTCATGTATCATATATATTTGGATCCATTTTGCATGCATAAACGAGTTCATATGAAAATACAAGAAGTTTATCTAGATGAGAGAAATAAACTTGATGTACATAAAAGTAAAAAATTATCTCGATTGTTTCAAAATTTATGGGTGTCTTTGCATAGAACATTAACTTAGTTTATCTAGGGAGACCAAATTTCTAAATTAAATTTTGTAAACCAAATGATGTAGATGTTGATGATTGGATTATTAGTTAAGTGTTGATTAACGTATTTATTTCCAATTGGTGACATATCATTTGGTTTGCAAATTTGATTTAAAAATTGGTCTCCCTAGCATTATCCTTTTTTATACATGGGACATGAAATTGCATGACTCCAGAGAAAGTATTGCAATTTTCATATAAAAGTTGTCATATAAAGTTTCATTTTTTGTAACACGTTTGGATCGACTTACATAAATCAGTTCTTAGAAAAATAAAAATATTTAAAAAAAAATAGGGCGGCTCTCATTTTTATAAGAGATTGATCGTGGTAAAGCTAAATTTATAAAAGCATGTTAACGATAAAAAAAAATAGACGTTTTAGATTGGTATGAAAACACAAATATTAAAACACTTCAGCTCCATTACTGTTAGAACACTTTACCGCCACCGCCGGCTACGTACCCCATGTTGGGAGAGCTTGATTATTGCCTCCCCTTCCAAGAAATAAATAAAGAAAAATATATAGTACTCTTCAAGCAACTATTCTAATGGAGATTCATAAAATATGCTCTTTGAGCCCTAGATCAAAATGCTTGTTTTGCAAGGTATATTGACTTGGTAACGTAAAGTGATTTCGTACAACTATATTCTGCCCTAAGGCAATCTATACCTAATGTAAGACCACAAAAATCTAGTTGGGTTGACATTTATTTAATATTGAATTAGTGATTTCGTAAACTATATGAAATTTAATTGGGGTTTATATGCAAGGACGGATCCACATAGGGACCAGGGAGGTCCCAGGACCCGTCGGCAATCCTAAATCGTTGCTATAAATTTTCCGAGGACCCCTCGTACTCGAGCATGAGGTCTGTGTAGGTTGCAGTGGCTATCTTCTTCTCGAAGAAGATGACCGCGCACGGAGAAGAAAGAAATAGGGACCCTTCCTGCCTCTCTCCTCCTTGCTTCTGCCATGGTCTCATTCATCGGTGCCACCCACTTCTCCTCCAACCTTTCTGTGTCGTCTGGTGGGGGCAGTACATAAGCCCAAACTTTCCCAAATTATTTCAACCATCTTAGTAATTTTTCTTATGGGTGAAGTTTCCATCATAAGGTTAGTAAGATGGATATGATCTGTCATGGGTTGGTGAAATTTGGTGGTGGAGCTACCATGGCTTTGGGAGAATGGGGAGGGAGGCGGTTAGTGGAGGTATGACAACTTTGTTCTTAGTGAGAGAGAAGGTGGATGTTTGGAAACTAGTAAAAGAGAAAAATGGTGTGTTTGGTTAGAAAGATAGTGGGAGTTTGGGGAGAGTTTTATTTGACTGGTGTTTTAATTTGCTATCCACACACCCCTTTTTACTTCATGCACACCCTCTTAATTTGCGGCCGTCGGATCGACTGAATTAAAAAAGATCAAATGACAGAAATAAACAAAGGGTGTGTGAGACGCAAAAAGGGGTGTGTGAATAGCACACCCCTTTAAATTTAGTGGTTCATATTAGATAATCAACAAGTTAGGTACTCCCTAGTAACTTATGAAACCATGTAATGGACGCTTGAATTATGATTTTATAATTTGTAATATTGTTTTGCATATGATTTTTAAATGAAATGTATTATATTTAAATTTTCAATGTTATTTTTGTCTATAAATTTTTTGACCTTTATAATTGGGACCCTTCGAATTTAAAATCCTGGATCCGCCACTGTTTATATGTATGGAAAATGTTCTCTTGTTAGACTACGGATCGACAGAAAAAATTTATTTGAATTATATTATGATATGCTAGGAGAATGGTTCTCTTGGTAGCTAACATGAAATCCTTACATTGTCTAACGGTTGATTTAAATCGTTGGACAATTAGATTCTTGCTTGATGATCCAGAAGTATTTTTGAATAATCATTAATGATAAATATTGTCATTGGTCTTCAGCATGCAAAGTTGATGGCTGAAGTACGTAAGGATTTTCTAAGCCATTTTAGTCTTTTATTTTTGGGAAGCCAAGCTTGTATATATACGTGAGTTCTTTTATGAGTTAAGCAAGCAATTCACAGTTGTATTTGAAAACAAAAGCAATTCAAACAATTAGCTTCATTCTTTTATTTCTTCATCTTTACAATCTTCCTCTCATTTTTATTCCTAAATATTAGGAATTAATCGTTCCACTAGAAGTTTTTTACTCACTCGAGTTAATTTGTTGTACAAATTTACAGTTAGACAATATAAGCATTTGAACATCAGCTATTGAGGAGCTCTACGGTTTGTTAAACTAAGCAAAGAGATCACTTTTGATTTATTTCAATGACTTCAAAAGTTTGTATTGGGTCTCTAAATATGGGCATGTTGACTTAACAGAGTTTAGGAGAATGAATGAATCAGATAACTTAAAAATTGGGGAAATAAAGAAAGGGAGTTAGATCCCATCTTATTGTACTAATTCATGAATTTTAGGTATATTTGCTTATGAATTCCAAAGTTACAACTCATACTTTTTCAATTTTATGTATTAATAAACACATTACAAAGCTAACAAATAAAACGATTTCTTTTGGCCAGAAATGCCACCTGACGGGCTTAGAGTTTGGAGCACTGCAGCTCTAGTACTGTTAAGAACCAATGTGGTTCAAATTCGCCTTTGACGAAAATCAAACTTAAGACATCTCACTTAAGTGAAAAGAATATTAGTAGACCGTTATACTAAATGGCTGCAACTCTAATATTGTTAAGAACACCTTAGCGCCACGGCTACTCCACGTGGGAAGAGCTTGATTCTTTGCCACGGAAAGGGATCCTCTCCGGATCCCTTCCTCCTAATCCACCAAGTTTGGGGATCCGGACCATTGAAATTTGATCCAACGACTACAAACAGGGGTCCACTTTAAAAGTTATAATAACTTTAGCTATTATATCAAATTTCAATGTTCTGGATCCCAAGAATTAATGGATTAGGAGAAAGGGATCCGGAAAGGATCCCTTTCCCTTTGCCACCCTTTCCATGAATAAAAGAAATAATTAAATATATTAGTCCTGGTCAAACAAGTATTCTCCCATGGAGATGGAGGCTCATGGAAGGTGTTCTTTAAGCCCTAGAAATGCTTGTTTTTTTAAGGCGTAATAATTTGGTCGACTTTGACGTAAAGTGATTTTGTACAACTATAATAAATTGGTCAACTATAACCTGGTTGACATTGATTCAATATTGAATTAGAATAACAAGACATTTCTTCTCTCAAGGTAAAGAAAATTTTAATATCAACAATAGAGAACTTTCTGTAAAGAAACAATATATTTTGATTAGTTTTTCTCAAACTAAATTACTTCGTTAAATAAAATGAAAACTAATGAAAAAAATTTGAAAATTTTGAGTTTTAACGATAAGGACAAAATAAAGGGTAAAGTGAATAGTACTTTTTAGTGTAAAAATATTGTTTTTCGTTAAAGTGAACAGTACTGTTGGTTTTTCGTTAAAACTCCCTTAAATAAAAAGACTAATATAAAATAAAAATAGTTTAAAAGATAGTTCAAAACAACTCAAATACAAGCCCAAATACAAGAAAGAAAATACAATAGATAGGCCCAAAATGAGTTAGCCCATAACAACAAAAAGCATTGGAGGAAGACAACAACCTTCACCAAGTCAATTGCACCGCCACGCAATGCCACCACTGCCAGAAGGACGAACCAACAAAACAGCTGGATGAATGGAAGATAGGGGTGTGCATACTACCCGTACAGTGAGCTTTCTCATAATCCTATTAAACAGTGCAAAAAGCACTTAAAAAAACACAACACCAAAATTCCATTGAGGACAGACACTTGATGGGTTAAATAGCAGATGAGGATGATAGGAGACTTGCGACATAAGACGACACTTGAGTTAAAAAGGGGCATAAAATTCAGATTTGAGACGAGCTCAGACAAAAACACCAAATAAAGGACCAAAGCTCAATGAGGAAGATAGATATAGATTGTAAAGATGAAGGGCTACATAAATAAGAGAGAATCTTCGCTGGATCCTCTTTGTGAGGATCCCAGGAATCCTCCAATTATATCCGTTTATCGCACATCATGCGGTTAGTTATTGTTTATATTCAATTTTAAATAAAAAAATTACAATAATTTCTGACCGCATGATGTACGATGAACGGATGTGATTGAAGGATATTCAGGATCCTCACAAAGAGGATCCTCTCGATAGATAAATGGCTACTAGTTCTGGGTAACCCACTAGTACAAGCATACTCTCAACTGTATATGCATCAATCCTGCCTTCCCTCACGAGAAGAGAAAAAAATCTTAAGATTGAATCAATTAAGTGATGAATTGTTTAGGCGGACTTCTTATTTAACCCACTGCTTTTTATCAGAAATTCCACTCCTCTTTAATCTAACTTATATAATAATAATATCGTTTGTAAAAAAAAAAATTTAAAAAAAAAACCTTTTCAAAGCAAAGCAAGGGAACAGTGCAGGGGCCAAGGGGACAAAAGCGAAGTGTGAAGCCCAACCGATCCGACTAACAACAAGCACTTCCTTCTCCCTCTCGCTTCTGTAATTAGTGTTTCAGTCGGTAACTTCCTCATCTTCTTCTTCTTCTTCTTGCTATAATTTCTACAAGGTGTCTATTGGAATTTATTTTGAAAATAATATTTCATTTAGGGTTCAATTTAGGGGTTTTAAGTTGGGGAGTTTTATTTAGGATTTAAATTAGGGTTTGTAATTTATAATTTTATTGGGTTACTTGTGTTTGCAGAGCTAATCAATGTACTGATACTTTTAATTGGTTGAAATATGCTAAAATTGGGAATGCCCACTTCTACAGAGGCTACAATTTGGGGTTTTTTACTATCCCAAATTGTGATTGTGGTTGATTTTTGCCAAGTACTAAACCTGTTTATTGGGTTTGATTTGGGTGTTTAAGCAGTTTAATGGATCTGGCAAACCGATCTCCGGTAGGTTCGATGTTCTTAGTAAATCGTCTCTGTGTTTATCGAAAACGGAATTGAAATCAAATGCTGTGCGAATTTGACACACCTTGGAAACAATAGGAAGATAAATAGAATAAGAAGAGGAATTCAAATTGAATTTCATGCCCCAATTTTATTGCTGTAGTGTTGCTTCCCAATACTAGTCCAGATGAAACCGTAAACCTCAAGCAACTAGTTTGTCTATGTTCATCCATTTTACGTCCAATTTGTATCTAAAACACCAAAACTAGGCATTAGTGTCCTTGAGCCAAGTCGTCTCTGTGTTCAAGCAGTCCATCTCAGAGAAACGAAGTGAATTATGCGGCAACTGTGTGATATAGATTGCAATGAGTATCATGATTCAGTCAAACAAAATACCAGATGCTTAAAACATGGTAGATTCGTGCAATCAATTTCCCGGCCTTCTTCTTCTTTCGAAGAAAATTCAGTTTCCGTATGGTTTGAATGCCTTAAACAAGTATTTTAGTTGTATGTGTATTTTAGTTGAAGATGTGAAGAAGGAATATTAGGAGTGTTTTGATAGGTTGTAATGTTACTGAATTATTATGACGAACATTCTTTTCTTTTTTGTCATTGCGGGTTCAATATGGCTGTTTTGTTTCACGTTTTGTTCAGGTTCTTAATATGGATGCGGATGCTGCAAAAACCGCACGGGAATCTCTTGACCTAGCATTTCAGATGTCCAACATTCTTGACACAAGGCTGGACCGTCACACCCTCTCCATCCTCATTGCATTATGTGATTTGGGTCTCAACCCTGAGGCATTGGCTGCCGTTGTTAAGGAACTTCGAAGAGAACCCGTTCCACTTCCGCCATCAGATGCTGCTCGTCCTGTACTATGAACTGGTTTTTGTATTCTTGATTTCTCTGGAACATAAACAATTGCGTACTTGTAGTATATATTCAAAGTGAATCCCATTTTCTAAGTTCGGGGGTTGTGATTACATCCCTTTAGTTGCCTTCATCTTCTTCTTTTCTCAACCCAAATTTACTTGGTACAAAATCAACAGCTCTCTCCATCTCCAAAGGCCTAAACTTTCCCTCACTCTCTCACAGGTTACTGAGTGCGTGATTAAATTAGTCCTGTTTTTCATTTTTCTTTTTCTAAAAGGGGGACAACTGATGGCAAGTCACAGTTATCTACCCCTTCTGTGGCCACAGTTAAATAGATTCACCAGCTCGGAGCATTAAACCCGGAACCTCCCACATTTTCTTTGTTCCGTATGTTTTGTGTTCGTCATAACCTTAGTTCATTGAGCGGGAAAATTGCCGGAGTTGCATTAAAATGGCGCTTTTGGACTTCTGTCGATCTCAAAACTAGGGTAGCTAATATGTTTTATGTTGTTACTCTGTCGATTTCTTAGTTTGTTAATTAGCATTTTGTGTTCTCGTGGAGGAGAGAAATTGGCATGAAACTTGTCATTCACGACCTTTGAACATAAAACTCCTAACATACAAGTAAAATATAAGTGCCTTCAGACCATAGTACTAAGCGGCAAAGGCTCACATTCTCCATCATCATATGGATTATTACAAGAAATTAATGAAGGAGAGGTGAAACCAGTCAGCAGTGCTCGAAAGAGAAACCTACTAATAATCCCAACTGCATCCGGCGACGCAGAAAATCCTTGAGAAGAATCCTCTTTCACATTCATCACGTCATACTGCGGATACCTTAGGGTTTGGACAATCGGATCGGAGAAGTCTTCTAACCCATGTACAATCAGTCGTCCGTTGTTGTAGACATCCCACTTAGTGACTTTGACTTGGTTAAGAGAAGCGCATCCTCTAGTGCCGGCAGGCAGGGAAGTGACAACGAGAGGATGGTCGGGCAGGAGAGTGTCAACCTTGGAACTGTGAAGCAAATACACCTCCATGGCATCTTTGTCCATCTTGAATGGCACAATATGGTACTCGAGGAGTGTCAACGGAGGCTGTGGATAGTTGGGGTTAAAGAAACCTTGGTCTTGAGGGCAAAAGAAGTTTTTCTGCAAATCCCGTGCAGCGCTTAGAAGGCGAACTCAATTTATTTCCACTGCGTTTGGCTGGGCTAGTAGGGATTGAACAACGGATAACACGGTTTGCAGTTGAAATGAAGCCTCAGATTTCTCTTATTTTCAAGAATGCTGAAGATAGTTGATGCCTGAGACCAAATGAGTTGGCTACTGTCCACACCTTCTCCTCTTTCAATATTTGGTGCACATAGAAAAATGTATAAGCAAACATGGAAATCGTGTAATCTCCTTTTAATCGCATTTGACATCGCTTGGTCGGTCGATTACAGACTCTTCCCTTCGTGAGGGAATTTGGATACATCTTTTGATCAGATGTGGTTATCATTCCTCCATTGCTTCTCCATCAGATTCATATCCTATAACCAAAAACAAACTATAAAAGCTAATTAAACAGAAATTGAACCAAGCCATGAATGCAGTGTTGCACTTCATCTCATCATATCGGTCCACATACTCGGCTCCTCCAACAGATATCACAATCTTAAAGAGTAACATAAAAGTTGCTCTGTCACTTGATAGATTACATTAATAACACGTATCTTACATCTCGAGGCGGAGCGTGAACGAATGGCTACCTGAACTGGACTCGTCAGTGGGAGAACTCCCTCCAACCCAGCATTTGAGGTAAGGAAGCACCCAAAGTTGTCAAAAGTGCAACAGTTTCAAACTACATTGTGATGGTCATAAGGATCTGTTTCAGCTATCAAACATACAAATGAACTTCACAGTGCCCTTTCTATCAATGGCAACAAAGCAGGGTCAACGTCAACTTTAGACAATAAATTAACTATCAATTCCGTAGTCGATGCATCTGCAGAAAGACCCCCCTCCACCATTTCTTGAATAAGTCTCATTGCCCTTGATGTCTCACTGTTTCTGATAAACCCTCGAATAATTGTGTTGTACGTGCAACCATTTGGAGAACAACCTTCCTCTTTCATTTCCCTAAGCAAGTTTTCTGCTTCACTTGTTAGCCCCGTGTTACAAAATCCACTAATCATTATATTATATGTCCTGGCATTATGTTGAAATCCTTTTGACGATAAACTGCGAAAGACTTCCCATGCATTCTCAACTTTTCCATCTTTGCACAAACCTTCAATAAGAATACGGTACGTTATGATATCAAAGTTCAACTTCTTTCCCTCCATCTCGCTTAGCAATTGCACTGCTTTGGGAAATTGTTGGTTTTCAAACAGGCCATGGAGTAAAATATTATAAGTTTGAACATCTGGAAGTTGGCCACAAGCTTGCATTTGAGAGAACAAAGTCTCTGCATCTTGTTTTCTCCCCATCTTGCAAAACCCATCAATAAGAGTGTTATAAGTAACTGTATCTGGAAACACCCCCCTATGAGACATTTCCCAAAAAAGCATTAGGGCATCATCAATAATTTTATGTTTACAATAACCATTTATCAGTATGTTATAGCTACGAACATCAATCACGGAGCCTTTGCTAAGCATTAGTTCAAAAACTTTTTTCGCCTGACCCATTTCTCCGAGCAAACAGTAACCGTCCATAAGTGTACGGTAAGTAACTGTATCAGGTTCAATATCTCTTTGAATCATCATTTCGACCATGCTCCTTGCTTTTTGGATCATTCCCTCTTTACAAACTGTATCAATCAAGACATTGAAGGTCTGCACATCTGGAAAGATACCTTTACTCACCATTTCATTCAACAATCTTATAGATTCTTTCCACTCCCCAAATTTGCAAACTCCATGAATCAAACAGGTATAAGTAATGACATTTGGGGCAATTCCTTTACTTGTCATTTCGGAGAAGAGTTTCAATGCATCAACAATTAAAGTATCCTTGCAAAGACTGTCAATGATATTGTTATAAATAACAACGCCAGGCTTGCAACCCCCTTCTTCCATCTTCTTAAGCAATTGGATAGCTCCAATGTTGTTACCTTTCATGCAAAGTCCCTTAGTATGCCAAAAGTAACCACAGTGGGCTTCCAGTTACCACGCTCCATCATTTTATTCAGAATCCCGACAGCATCAGCCTCTCTATCCTCGAGAAGAAAGCCATTGATTAGAGTGTTGAAGGTCGTGACATCAGGTTCAAAACTTAATTTGAAGAATTTTCCCAAGAATGACAAACCAAACCCCATTTGGTTGAGATGACAGTAGCAATTGATGATAATGTTCAGAGTATAACCATTAGGACGAATCCTGACACACCCATTTGGTTATTCAACGAGATGACTGTGGAATAATGTTTCAATCTCACAAGCTGACCCAATATTTGATTGAAGCGGACAACGGAAGGCAGAGGACGCCTTTGAAGCATTTCGTCGAACACATTGAGGGCATCCTCAAGATTGGTGAATTTCACAAACTGGGGTGGTTGGGTGTTTCTAGATTCGGTTGATTTAGAAGCTCGAGAGTGAAACAAACCCAAGTAACTGTTTACAAAAACAACAACAGAGGAGTGAAAAGAAGGCGGCATACCTATGGCTCTAAGTCTGCGGCTGCCATAACAAGCAGCAGTTGTTGCCCACCACATCATCTTCTTCAGCAACTCAACTCTGCGAGTCGCAGAGACTCAACCAACGTTCACTGATTGATCGACAAGACTCAAGTGCGTTATCGAATTCCACCCAAACTTCACTTTGTGTTGTTGAGTTTCGACAAAGATTGTCCTTTTTCTTCTACCGGAAAAGATCACAAGGTATTCATTTCTAAATAGTTGCCGCCTGATATTGTTTGACATGTTCTAGCAAGATTTGAAAAGACATTAAGCGTTAGTTAGACGATGAGTTGGGGCCTAGCGTTTGGAGGGTTAGACGAAACCTAGGCAGGCACCTAGGTAGAGTAGACGAATTTAAGTAAATCTATTATATTTCATGTAAATAAATGTCTGCTTATACATAAAATATATCTAATTTCATTATAAACTATAAAATAGAGTGACATATATATTATGAAGTATTGAAACTATAATGAATACATGAGAAATAAGGATATAATGTGTGTTCATGCAACAAGACTCTTACAATTTATTGGAAAAATAAATAAATTGTAAAATGAAAGTTATATATTTTCAGTCTAAGTGAGTTGCGACCTAGACGGATATGGGCAGGCTTGGAGGGCGTCTCAGCAGGTTTAGGTGTCATTTCTTAATTCAAATGCTTAGACATTAATTGGGCGATAACCAGCCGCCTAACGCCTAGGTAGTGCTAGGTGAAGATTTTTAGAACAGTGGTTCTGGTGAAGTGTAATTCAATCTCGGTAAAGTCCAATCTAATGGCCTCAGATTGGGCCAACTGAGCAACGATTACCAAACAGTAACCATACATAAGGCTGTCTCCAAGGAGAGAAAAACTTATATGGGGCTTGGTTTGAAAAAACCAAAAAAACAAAAAATTTGGGCCCAAAGCATCTCTGAGGAATGTATCTTGGGGTGAGAAAATGGGACTTTGGTTTGGGGGTGGAAATTTGGGTCTGCTATCCCCCCGCCCCGGATGGATGAGGGAAGGAATTGGGCCGAGGGCCCCAGCTTGCAGCACCTGAACGTGAAGACTAGACAAAGGTGGGCTTCGCGTATTAGATGCAGCAACGTGGAGAGATTGTTTGCGAGCGAGCGCAAAGCAAGCAGCCTTTCTACGACTAGATTCCACTCCAACAGTTTTTTATTGTGTGCCCTAGATTTTTTACCATTGTACGGTTATTTTTTTAAATCCAACTTCTCAAATCTAATTTAATCAAATTTCGATAAAAAGGAGATCCAACGATCAAATAGTCTAATTAATTCGTCCAAAAAGAATCCAACACCAAAACTCCTTGGAGGTAATTTTATTTGAACCTATATAACCTCTTTTTATACCCAACTTAAACTTTAAATGTTAATTGTCTTTTTTACCCTAGTGCATAATTACCATCAAATACAAAATAAATTTAACAATACAACTAAAATTTATCAATAAACCTAAACAAACACCAAAGCACAAACAAATCAACAATAGCAGCAATGGGAGATGCCATAGTGCTGAGATCAAACAAATCAAATGACATGCAGAAGACGATTCTATGGCTCGTTCCTTTGTCTCCTCATGGACTGGTACTAGTATATTTCCTGTGATATATCAGGCGGAACAACCATGAATCGTTTAAGTTGAAATTGCCGAGGGCTTGGAAATCTTGGGACAATTGGAGCTTTGAAGAGAATAATTATCTCTTTGATCCAACTAACCATCACAAACATATATCATCCTACCTTTATTTTCATCAATGCATGCATGCAGTAAATCAAATTAAAAGATATGAAATTTCATCCAACAAAATACACCCTAAAGATAAATATTCATCCCTAAAAATAGTCAGTTAAATCATGTACTTAATTGATTGATAGTCACAACTAGTGGTGAAGCCAAAATTTGCGAGGACGAAATTCAAAAGAGTGCAAGGTTCAATTGAAGCGGTTGTTTTCACATTAGATAGTGCAAAGTTTTGAATCAATATTCATATTAGAAAATAGTTTCTCCACTAAAGCAGTTGTAAGCAATAATATCAAAGTCAATGTAAGAAACTTAAATTGGCTAGGATTAGATCCTAAAAAATGTTAGGCGCTAATCAAACAGTGGACTGGAACCTAGTAGCTAGGTGCCTAGGCAAGATCTAGGTAGGAGCCTAGATGGATTTAAATTATCATAAAATAAGCATTAAACAATATTTACAGTGTTATACAATATTTGTAAATAATGTGAGAGTTTAAGATAAATATGGTGGAAGTCTTAAAAGAGAAAATAAAAATACATACAAGAATAAAATAAAAAAATAAAAAAAAGGGAGAAATGGGTTAATAAACCACAAAAAAAAGGTGGGGTTAGAAGGAAAAAAAAAAAGTGGGGGGTGGGATGGGTAACCAAACAAGTGGGGCAAAAAGATAAAGACCTGAAGAGAAAGATAATACTGGGGTAAGGTGTCAGTACTCAATTTTTACTGACTTAGGTGGCCCAATAATTGTCCAACACCTATCTTTAAAACTCACACTCAAATTCTTGCTATCCTGATAACCAAACGGATAATATTTGCCTACTAATAAGTCAGTAAACAATTATTACTGACTATTATATAGCTTAATATAAATGCTACACCTGTCCATTTGATTGCTCCAAGCTCCTACTACTTTGATAACCAAGCATCTTACTTGCTCCCATAACCTGATAACCAAACTGTGGAGCAAAAAATAATCGAGAAAAATATGGAGGCGACACGTGGATTCTTAGGTAAAAAGATAAAATTACCCTCGAGACACATCGGAACTCCTACACGCAAGTAGCGGACAATCACGACTCAATCAAGGTCAAAAGTGACCAAAATAGGTATTTATTCAAAACCTATTTCATCCATCCTCGTCAAATCCTCCCCACAAGGTAACCTTCAATTATTTATTCAAAATAGGATTAATTATCTAAATTAATTGATTAATTTCCTAGTTGATTGCAATATATTATTTTGACATAATACGCTTCTGTCTGAAGGGTCTGAACCAATCGGGTTTTCCGGTGAGGGAAAGGGCTGAACCAGAGCTCCGGTCATGTTTTCCGGCGAGGGTAGTGGCAGGCCGCTACTACTCACCCTCACGTGGCTTCGCCACTGGTCACAACCAGAGAGAGGATTTTAACTTAAACCAAAGCAGGAAGAAAAATAAGAATAAAGAAACAATAGCATTTAGAATTTAGATTCAGACCATTTGAAAACAAACAAAAAAACCCCTAAACTAGTGCGACAAGCTCTTTTGCAATATGATTGCAAGGACAATCATATTGTTTGGATTAAGAATTTGTCCACTTTTTCGTAGTCCTAACTTGAAACGGACTTCTCTTTGCAAATTTGGGTTTTTATTTCTAAATGAGTGTACGGATAAATCTACCAATTGAATTAGGTTTGTGAGGGTAATTTAGGTAGTAAATATGGTTTAAAGAGATACTGATGGTTTAATCAAAGTTAATATGGGTGAAAATAGTAAGTTGGATGTAAAAAAAGATTATATGAGTTCAAATAAAATTTCCTTCAAAATACCCATCCAACTAAAAATATCTCCACACTTTTTATTCAGAATTTGAATATTTTTTACATCAAAATGTTCCTAAAATTAAACAAGATAAATTATTAAAAAAATCATAATAAATCCAAAATCCAAATTTATTGGTACAAAAGTACAAAAGTTTAACAAATTATAATTTTGGGTTGGAGATAGCCTTAGTGTATGGTAACTGTATCAAGTTCAATATCTCTTCGAGTAATCATTTTGACCACGTTTTTTTTCTTGGGGTGTGATATCCACACACCCCATTTTACTTCTCACACACCTTTTTAATTTTCAACCGTCGGATCGGATGAATTGAAGAAGATCAACGGACATAAATTATCAAGGGATGTGTGATGAGTAAAATAAGGTTTGTGGATAGCACACCCCTTTTTCTTCCTTGACCAACCCCTCCTTACAAAGGTTGTCAACCAGGATAATGAACGTAAGCACATTTGGAGAGATATTTTTGCTCACCATTTCATTCAACAATCCTGTAGATTCTTTCCACTCCCCTTATTTGCAAACTCCGTGAATCAGAAAGGTATAGGTAATGACGTTGGGAGGAGCAATACCCTTTCTCATCATTTCTGAGAAGAGGTTCAGTGCATCAATAATTAAAGTATCCTTACAAAGACCATCAATGATCGTGCTATAAATAATTAGGTTAGGTTTGCAAGTTCCCTCTTCCATCTTCTTAAGCAATTGATTGTTACCTTTCATGCGAAGTCCCTTGACTTGGGTGCCGAAAGTAATCACAACCAGCTTGCAGTTACTACTCTCCAACATTTTATTGAAAAGTTGTGCTGCCTCGGTCACTCTATCCTCAAGAAGAAAGCAGCAGATTAGAGTCTTGAAGGTCGTGAAAACAACAATTTATGATGATGTTTAGAACATAAATACGAGGACGATCCCGAAACCTTATTCAAACTGATCCCAATAATTGATTGAAGCGGACAACGGAAGGCAGAGGACGCGTTTGAAACATTTCGTCGAACACATTGAGGGCATCCTCAAGATTAGTGACTTTCGCAAGGCATTGGCCTTGGTGGGGGAAGTTTTTGGGGTTTAGCCTATGGTAATTTGATATTTAACTACTTACTGCACGAGAGAAAGTAATATCCTCAACATTTATTCAAAGGATTCAAAGGAAACTTCCTTTCAACTGTGTTATTGTATATACACCATCTGAAATGCAGAACGGATTATCTGCCTTAAAACTAAACCATTCACCTGAAAGACTACTTGTCCACCATCAAAGACCTTTAACAGATATCGTACATCAACATCCGCCAACGGAAAAACAGACTCTAAAAAGTAAGGAATTCAACAAAATGCACGGAAGAAAACCTTAACACTTGTCTGTCTGCCACTATTGAAATATAGGAAGGTCAATCTTTGTTTGTTGGTTTAAACTTAGATCTGCTCCAACAGCAACGATGCCTCCTTGTCCGGTTTCAGTTGACATCTTCAAGAAGTAACTATGCCTGCGATATTAAATACTTAGAACCTCGTGTGAATTTAGGAGAATGGCTGACAGAGTAAGCATATTTACCATCGAGTGTCTGCTGTCAATTCAGGATGGAAGGCAGTCGCCAGCAAATTCTTTTGTCGAACTGCTACAATCACTTTATTCTCAGGCACAGGATTCTCCTGAAATATCAAAAACTAATAAGAAAATAGCAATGAAAGAAGGTAAATATATGTCAGCAGCATGCCATCATTGGTAATTTCATCTTAGACGAATGATACTCTGGTTTTGTATAGCAATATAACTGCATATTTGCACACCAGTACAGAAGGTTTGATAGTGTCTCTTCTCTTTGCTATATACAGCAGAAGCAGTGTTACTGACAACACATGACATAACCAGGTTTGTGATTGGTGATTGTACGAGCCCAAAACTAAGCGAGATGATATAACCGTACCCATGTACATAAAAAATTAGTCTATCTAATTCCAGTCAACAACTTTCAATCATAGACATATGTTTCAGGCAAGACCAGAAGAAATTTACCGCTTCTCGGATAAGAAAATGAACTTTTGATCATAACTTGCTCCACTATCATAAACTTGCAAACTAACTACCCTATTTTAGACAGAGATGATGAACTTGTTCTCATACGATACGTTTTTCAACTCCTTCCAAAACAAGTCTTATGTTTTACAAGGAAATATGGTTACTGAAGAAGCAAATAGAGCTGCCAACTTAAACGAAACAAATGAGGCTTGACCAAAGACTGATTATATAACAGTATAACCGGTAAAAAATTTATGGACAGAAGAAAAACCTCTTGAGCTTCAACAGCAGAATTTGAATCTACCACCTTATTAGATGGAACAGGATAATCAGCCAGCACTTCAACTTCTGGTCCTACGTCAAGGATAGCGGGAGCACGGATGAAAACTCCACGAAATACTTGAGGACCACCTTCCGTAGAAGCAAGCTCTGGTACTGCAAGTTCAGCCTCAAAGCTCTGAATCTGCAAGTTTTTGGTTTACCAAAAGCAAAACAATTACCACATTGAATATCGAAATCACGTAAACTTGAGAACAGAGAAGTGAGTGCATTACCTGACTGCCAAAGAAGTTTCTGTGGACGGTGCAATCTAGGCCGCCAACAAGTTCCTGTCCTCCTATTTTCTGTCCTGAAAGGTGAAAAACATGCCACTCGTCTCATCACATTTATAAAAACAATTGAACATATCAACAACTTAAGGGATTGATAACGGCAACGAAAGAAAGAAGGAACATGAACGTGCCTGTAGCTTTGTTGGCTAAGAAAATAAGACCTGCACAGGTCCCCCAAACAGGCTTCCCCATTTTAACAAACTCACGCAGAGCAGGAAACTGTCAACAAAATAAACCAATATGAAACAGAGGAACAAATCAAAACAAACCCAGGGAGAGAGAGAGAGAGAGAGAGAGAGAGAGAGAGAGAGAGAGACCAGATTGTGGTACTCAGCGAGCTTAGCCATGGTGGTGCTCTCCCCTCCAGGGATTATAAGGGAGGCCACGATTTCAAGCTGCTCTGGCTTCCTTATCTCCACGCCCTTCACCCCAAGCCTTCTCAGAGCTACAACACACACAAACAGACGCACAGGGCATCAGAAAAACATAGTGCAATGATATCGAACGCATTTGCTGCGAGAGAGGAGGCAAAAATGGAGTGCCTGCTATGTGTTCGTTGAAAGACCCCTGAAGAGCAAGAACGCCGACGAGGGCCATTTTTGCTCCAAGCCGCACAGAATTTGGGTTGAACGAAAGATGGAATCGAGGGAAAGAGAAAAGGCGTAAAGCGATTGAGCGCACTGGTCTGGCGGCTCTGGCCTCTCGTTTACTGAGTGGGCTCCACTTTGGGCCGTTTTAATAATAATATTTCACTTGATTTCTCAGCCCATGTTTTAGGAAATACTGAGATCCAAATGTTGAAATTGGAAACATTGAGATTCAAAACTTGAAGAGAATTCTGATTTGAGTTCTTGATTGCACCTTTTTTTCAATGACTTGATTATTATATGGAAGGAGTCTATTAGTCGTCTGCCAGTTTAGAGTTAAGGGTGGGCACTTAGAACTAAAAGCTGAAACCGAAACACGAATTAAATTGAACCGCGCTGGACAATTCTATTTTTGCGATTTTGAAACGATTTTGGTTCAAAACTAAACGGCAATATGAAAAGGTGGTATGTTCACACTCTTTTTAATTTTCGGTCGTCAAATCGATTGATTGAAAAAGATCAATTAATAAAAATCAACAATGATGTGTTGAGATAAAAATAGATGTGTGAACTGCGATATCACATGAAAAACGATTTTGTTTCAGTTTTGAACATCTAAAACCTCACCAAGACTGAACCGCACTACAAAAATTAAATAAATATTTAATTTCACACTAGTATTAGGTAATTTATATTGTAGGCTTTCTTTGTTTTGTTTTTTCAATGTGTTTTGTTGCTTTTGTTAACTAATGTAATTTATATTGCTTATGTATTTGTATTATGTAGAGGTGGCCATTTTGAATTCAAGTATCGCATCTCTTACTCTTAACCCATAACCACAACAGCAAGTTCCAAGACATCTCAAGCTTCTAGTTCACAAGATTCAATGGCTCCTCATCCATCAAATTCAATTTCACAAGGTCCAAGGTCCTCCCAAGTATCGTATTCTCAAGCTCATTCACAAGTTCAAAGGCCTCTTAACCTTCAAAGAGTAAGTGTCCAAAAGGAAAGGGAAAGAGAAAGGGTTGAACGATGCAAAGTAGTGACTTAAAAGTTGAAGCACCAAAACCTTTTTGTTGAATTGCATGAACCATTTATTTTTTCGGGTTATACTACTAATCTCATAAGGCATTTTGTCTTGAAGTTTGTTTGAACTTTAATTTTAGTGTGGTGAACTTAACTTTTTCAATTGGGTATTACTAAAGTAATGCCATAAGGCATTTTGAAGTTGAACTTTATTTCAAGTTCAATTTTAGTGAGGTAATCAAGAATTTTTTTCAATTGGGTTATATTAATAGCATAAAACATTTAGTTTGCAAAACCAGAACTATTTGAAACCAAACCGAACTGCAACCAAATGGTCTGGTTTGGTTTGATATTTAATTTGCTTCCATTTTCTCACAAGCCGAACAAGGTGTAACAATCTGACCATTCACACTCCACTTAAGCATTTCAAAAGACAACTGCTTTGATCTGAAATGCAACAAGTTTCTACACACTGTTTGGATTCTAAGAGAAAGATTTTGCCTTCGAATCACTCATCGAAAAGATTTAAGAAAAGGCGAAAGGAAGTGAAGGGTGACAAGTGGATTCTCCTAGTAGGTAGGCTTCCTCTTTAACTCAGTGCATCTCAAGATCAAACTCTCCCTTTCTGTAATTTTGATGATTAGAGAGATTGAAATGTTATAAATCACATGCTTGCTACCTAATTCAATATTTTTTAAAATAAAAATTGCCTTGGTGTGACAACGCAAGTGGTTGGCGATATGATGTAGCACTTGAGATGGTCCAAATACTCAACTTCTTCAACAGGTTTCACAATCTCAAAAGAGTAACACAAAAGTTGCTATGTCACTCGATAGATTAAATAAATAACATAAATCATACATCACTTGACCGAGCATGAACGAATTGCTACCTGAATTGGACTCGTCGGTGGAAGAACTTGTTCCAATGCAACATTCGAGGGAAGGAAATATACAAATGAACTTTCCAATTTTATGTTCGAATTTCGTAAATTGCTAATTCTATTCTAAGTATAATCATTTCATTTTTCTTTTTAACGATCCTATATTATTAGAAGAATAAAAAGGTAGGATTCCTTAAAATTATGATAATTTAAATTTCACTTGCTAAACTAATCAAAGTTATACATCAACAACATATCAATTTAAAATAAGATGCAGGAACTAAAATTAAATATGGAGCACTTAGATATCAACGATATTTTAAAAGAACCAATCATTTCAGCAATTGAGATTTTTTTCTTTTTTTTTAAACAAACGATATTATCTACTCTAAAGGAAAATGGGTAAGCTTAGCCTTACAATGAGCTAGTAATAGTGTGGTTCAAATTTGCTTTTGGCAACAATTGAGATTTTAAAAGTGATTATTTTGATTAATTTTTCAAACAAAGACCTTTTATTTGTAGGACTCGGTTAGAAGTGCTTTTAAAATGATTGAAAGTGTTTTTGAGTTAAAAATCACTCTTAGTGCTTCACATAACTGTTATTTCTCCAAAATGCACTTGGAGAAAATTTTCTAGTCACTTGTATTTTTACTAAAAATTCTTTTTTTTTTTTTTTGGAAAGTGTTATTTTTACCTCTGACACACCTTTATTAATGTTGACTAATGATCTCCTTCAATTCATTCAATCCGACGATCAAAAATTAAAAGAGATTTGTGAGAAGTAAAAATGGATGTGAGAATAGTACTATTTTTTTTTTCTAGAACAACCCTAAAAATTTATTTTAAAAGAATTTTCACAAAAAACGATTTTAATTCCAATCAATTTAGAACTATTTATTTGACCAAAAATATAAAATAAAACTATTTAAACTAAAAAAAAAAATTAATAAAAAAGGAAAAGAAAGAAAACCATGCGAAGTCTGAGAGAGGTAGAGGTTCCAACACAAACCGTCGCGCGTTATATCGGTGAACGTATGAACTCGGAACTCTCCACATTTGTCTGTGGCAAAAGGTATGAAATCCTCTCTCATGGCTCTTTAGCTTGGGCTTCTTCTACATTGTATCCTGAGCTAGCCTCCCTCCTGGGTTCTTTAATCCTCTATCAAAATCTTACCTTTGGCGTTTGCGGTGTTTCCACAAGCAGCATAGCGCGGGGTTAAATTGAAGGGCCAGATTTCAGGCTTCAAAAATTTAGTGTCTAAACCCAAAAAACTTGATTAGCTTTGTTTGATAGTGATTATGATGAAAATTATTTGCTAAGATTCTAGTTCCAAACCCTTGATTAGATTTATCTAATGCTGATTTTATGCAATATAGTGTTCATGTTAAATGTAGTTTGAACAGTTCATGGAGTGATATTAGGTTAAATTTGGGGCTAAATTTGATTTTTTATAATCATGGTGGTGAAGGGTTGTGAGAAGCAAGTTCTTTTTGTTAATTGCCAAATGGGTTTTTCTCGTTCGTCGAAAATTCACATGGTTTTCATGAATAGGTATTGGGGAAGCAAGAAATTTTGGCTGGAGCAGCCGGTTTCGGTTGCAAGGATTTCGTCTTCAACCCTTGTGTTTAACCAAACCCACAAGTTCTTTGAGAGTTGAGATGCAGCAGCAGCAGCAATATCACCACCACTTGGGTTTTGAAGAATCACCAAGTGGAAGCAGTGGGGCTAGGGTGAGCTTATTGATTCGTCACCTTCCAGAAGCTATTTCTGAGGAGACTCTGTTTCGGCTGTTGTCCCACTATGGTGCTTCTTCTGTTCGCTCGTGCGCTGCTACTGGCCGGTCAATTCTCGCTTCTCCTTCTGAATTGTTATTGTTCCTCTGTTTTTTTTCTTTTGCTCCCCTCGCTATAATCTATATGCATATACTCACAGGCTGAGGAACTGCGCATTTGTGGATTTCCAAAACGAAGGCTTGGCGTACCAGGCACAACGACAGTTAAACGGGTATCAAAGGCACTGTCATATACTTGTTTTCTTGCATTGCAGTCACATTGTCACATTATGTTACTAATTGGTTTGTGGCATTGTTTTCTTTGTTTGGGTAGGCTGAGGTTTCTTGGTAAGGTCTTAAAAGTAGAGAGGGCAGCCGCCAATAATGATAAGCCATCACAGGCTTCTAACAACAATTCTATTTCTGTAAACCCCACTTCCAAACCATCTTTGGTCCACAACCCTACCATCAAGATAGAGGCTGACAAAGTTGAAGTCTCAAGATCAGAGCCCATTGCTCCAAGGCTTGGTGTAGACTATCCCTTTCCTCCTCACCTCGAGTATGTTATTCCACTCCACTTCTTCAAATTATTAAAACATATTTTATTAGGGTCCTCCTGTATTTGTGAAATTTATCTATATGTTTGTTAGTCTGTTACTCATATGTTAATGTGGAGGGGAAGTTATGTCTTTAGTGTACCCTCCAATAGGTTTAAAATGATTTGATTTTTATATATTACAGGTATGCTTACCCGCCACCAGATGGAAATATTCTAACCAACATTGTAAATGCTCTTATAGCTGTACCTCGCTTTTATACACAGGTTCTCTCTAATCTCAGACAAAACTAATGTAACAGTGCACTAAGATCTCATAATTTGAATGTGTACTTTGTTTTTATCTAGTCAGTGAGACATATTTTGGGCCATATTATCTAAGACTTGCACTCTGAATTGTAGGTTTTGCACTTGATGAACAAAATGAACATACCAGCTCCATTTCGTATGGCTCTTCCCTCTCCACCACTACCACCCTCAGTACCCGTGCCACTTCCACCACCTCCCCCACTTCTAGCCGAAAAGCCTTGCTCGGCTGATTTATCAAGTGAAGAGTCAGAAATGGAATCTTCGGATGAGGTAACTTCATAGGTTGCCAAGTCTTCCTTTGATAACTATTTATGTTTTTTTCTTTAAGTTTGCACGCGTGAATGCGTGAGAGGAAGCGAGGGGTACCACCATGGTTTCAAGAATGAGAATTAAGAACAATCCAACCCAACACGCCACCCCCACCCCACCAACAAAAACACTAAAAGCATCTGGAACACGTATATGCACTTGTAAGTGCACATTGAACTATGAGACCTGTGAAATCATTTCATGTTTCGTCAATTTCATATGTCCACACATCCACATTTGGATTATTATGTCAAAAAGAAGAAAAATTACTCTAGCTGTCTAATTTTCTAGTTTCTAGTTTCTTTATAGCTTATACATCCTTTGAGACTTTGAATTGAATGTTATCAGGAAGTCAAGGAAAAATCCTATAGCAGAGCTTTTAGTGGACGGAAGCGTATTAAGCGGGAAGCTATTGTTGGTCCTGCAGTTGATAAAGATGTAGCTCATGAAGATGTTGGATTGAAATCAGCCACTCTTATCCCAAAGGAGATTCCAATGATAAAAAAGAAGAACCCTATCGTACAGGTCTTTAATCTTTTTTTTTATAGGAAGAGGTCATTTACTTTTCAAGATGAATGGTCATCTTTGTCGGTTGATCTCTTATGCCTAGCTATTTTTCATATATTCTTCTTGGATTGTTGCAGATAAAAATTGCACCAAAAGTTGTTGTTAATGAAAATAAAGATGATGGCATTACTGAAGACTCAGAGCATCCAGAAAATGAGAGTGCAGATATCAACACTTTTGCAACTCCAGAAGAACTGGAAAAAGGAAAATTGCCTCCAGAAGAAATATTATCACTGCCAATGTTTAAGGTACCAATTTGACATTTGGCTCTATTTTGGTAGACGGCCTTGCTGTATGGAGTCTGAAGCGATGCCTAGTCATAAAAATTATATATGAACTTTGAGGGAAAAATTTAGGTGACTTGTGAAAAAAGATATTTAATACAGAGATCTTACTTGGAATCTGCAGAACTATGCAGCTGGGAATCCGGCCTCGGTGTTGTATATAAAGAACTTGGCAAAGGATATTGTTGCTGATGACTTATATTACATATTTGGTGAGCTCACAGTTATGATGAACTCTATAACTTATTTTAGTTTTCTTAAACAGTATGTTAGAAATCTTAGTTCTCTGCAAGTATTTATGCCGAGATATCCTAAAGAGTAGTATTGAAGAAGTGATCCTTTACATGTGAATTCTCTTCACATTTTTTTGGTGTCCAAACGGTAGAAATCACTCCAATTTTCCAGGTCCAAGAATTGTTAAACTGTCTCGCACCTAGGTTTAACCAATCTAAACTACTGTAATACTGTTGTTATGCCGTAGGGTCATTATTTGAAGCATTGATGCAGCCAAATCTGGTCTCAGCGTGAAGCTCATGCAGGTGAGATCTCTTGATCACCTTTATGCTTCCAAGTCAACCTTTGTTCCTTTACATATTTGATTACCAATGCTGTCCTAAGTTACTCTCTTTGTACATCAAGGGATAGCTGAAATATTTCAATGGAACAAGAAAAAAAGTGGAAAGATAGAAAACTAGGATGAATTATGGGCTCAGTTTGAGAAAATTGTGGGGGACTATGAGGTTGGAATGAGACGTTTACACTGACTTACGAAGAAAGCATCTAATAAACTTTAAGGTGTTCATGTATAAATTCGAATGCCTTGAGAAAGACTTGTTGTCATGAAGATTTCATTCCTTATGATGTGTCTGTGGCATGTTATATTATCTTGAAAGGTGGCTTTTGCCAATCTTTGCATCTGCTTCAAGTGCTTTCCTACCAGCAAAAGCTGAAAGTAATATTTTGGATTGCAGGAAGGAAGAATGAGAGGACAAGCTTTTGTGACATTTCCATCAGTTGAACTAGCACATTATGCTTTGGTATGCCCCTCTGATCTCAATTAATTGTTGCTGTACAATTAGTATCAAGATGATCTTGGTGCTTGTCTGCTAGTTTTATGACGATTTCATAGGTCTTGACGAATTTTTAATTGCATCCAGTGTACACAGTTTTGCTTACCATTCAAGCAGATATCTGTAGTCCCTTTGTTATCTTGCTTTTTCGTTGAAGCATGGATAAAATTACTCATTTGTTATACCATTATACCTTCGTTGCAGAATCTAGTAAATGGGTATGTGTTCAAAGGCAAACCAATGATCATCCAGTTTGGCCGGAATCCTGCAGCTGGGAAAGCAAATTAAAATGGTGAACTATCTGTGGACGTTCTGAATTAATCCACCACGTTATCAGTTTACTGAATTTAATCACCTGCAACATTGCGAGTAATCAGCACCCTCAGTTTACCAACATCAATAGATTTATATCATGCAATCATATTCTTCTCTTTCAGAAATTGGCTGGGAGTGAGGTTTTCTCCAGAACTCCTCGAGCACGAATCTCCGGTGGTACAGAAGAAAGAAACTGTAATATGTTGCTACCCATGCAACTAAAGTGGACTGAGAGCTGGTGGTTCTGAAAAGGTTGAAGTTACATGCCCAGATGGTCTCTGCTAGGCATCCTGCATCAGCTCAGAAGTTTTCCACATCAGAATGCTTCTCATGTCTTGGACTCTTGGCTTAAAAGTTAGAACTAACAAGTAGAGAAAGTTGGTTTCAAAAGAGAAATGAATTGCTTTCTTTTCAGAGTAAAAGGGTTGGTTATCAAGTATCAATCAAGTTAAATAACTAAGAAAACATAGTTTTTTTAACTTTTATATTGAAGTTACACAATTTATCAACCATAATTGGGTGTTAAATTCGTCATTTGAGATAATTGAACCAATAACACATTGTAACGTACAGAGTGAAAAGAAAACTACTAAATTGTAGTGACTAATGGCAAAAAAAAAAGGTATAAATTTACTCAAAAATGATAGAAATAAAATTTCTTTTTGGGGTTTTGATAAAAGTCAAAATTTGTAAATGTACATAAACTCATTTGTTTAAATTTATAAACACAGAAATTTAAAATTTTTGCGTGGTAAAAAAATTGAAATTTGGGACCTCCAATCCCAAAAATAAATTTTACGTAAATAGATATCATTTCTAACAAATTTTATTTTTAAATTTCTATAAATGACAAATTTCATAGAAATAACAAATTAAGAGTTTAAAAATAACAAATTTCATTTCTAAATTTCTATGAGTGAGAGTTTAAAAATAACAAATTTCATATTCAAATTCATTGTTTGTTAGGATAGCCGAACAAGAAAATTCATAAATTTGTAAAAATTTCCATTATTTTAAAATTATTTGGTAATCTTAAATAAAAAGACAAAAATGCCCAGCAATTTGAGTACATAATTATGAACCGGTGGGCGTCTCTGCGTCTCCGTGCTGCGGGTCTCATCACTCCAACAGCCACAGTAAATCAAGGTCAATCGAACCATGAACAACGGCGAACAAAGACGCCTAAACGGAGAAGCTGAGGAAGACGAAGACGACGACGACGCAAACAATGGTGGCCTCGCTGCCTGGGAGCGAGCTTACGCCGACGAGAGGTCGTGGGAGTCTCTGCAGGAGGACGAGTCCGGGCTTCTCCAGCCCATTGATAACCAGTCCCTCAAACATGCCCAATACCGCCGCCGCCTTCGCGCCGCCTCCACTGCCCGAATCCAAAAGGGTCTCATTCGTTATCTTTTCATTGTTATCGACCTCTCTAAGGTATCTGATTCCTGTTTGCTTGTTGCCCTTAGGAAATTTTATTCAATGTTGCTAGGTCTGCCATCTCAGAGAGAGAGAGAGAGAGAGAGAGAGAGAGAGAGATGTTAGCTTATTTATACTATTTTTGTGGTTTGATCTGCAGGAATTTGTTTTTCTGAAACCTTTGTTTGGTAAAGTTTGGAGCTGTAATTGATTTCAAGTGAAATGACTATATTTTTGTACTGCCATTTTTCGGGTTGATGAACTTAGCTTGGGCAGCCAATGATGTTGTTTATATAATCTTCAGTCAATAACGAAAATGGTGTATTAAGATACATGGATGCCGAAGTTTTCTGTGACAGTTCTTGTGCAATGTATTTACTTTATATGTGATGAAAAATTGTTACATCTGGTTTCGTTTGATGTCTGAAGGCAGCTGCAGAAATGGATTTTCGACCAAGCCGAATGGGGGTCGTTGCGAAACATGTTGAGGCTTTCATAAGAGAGTTTTTCTACCAGAATCCGCTTAGTCAAGTTGGCCTGGTGACTGTAAAAGATGGTGTTGCTCATTGCTTAACGGATCTTGGTGGCAGTCCTGAGTCTCATGTTAAAGCTTTGATGGGTAAACTGGAATGCTCTGGTGACTCGTCCCTACAGAACGCATTGGATCTTGTACATGTGTATCTTAATCAGATTCCATCATATGGTCATAGAGAAGTATTGATCTTATATTCAGCTCTCAGTACCTGTGATCCTGGAGATATAATGGAAACTATCCAGAAGTGTAAGAAATCCAAAATTAGGTGCTCAGTTATCGGTCTTTCAGCAGAAATTTTCGTATGCAAACATCTGTGCCAAGAAACCTGGTGGCTTGTACTATATTGCATTGGATGAGGTGAGTTCATCTAAGTAAACCCTACAATGTCAAACTACACGAGAATGAATAACCAAAAATAATCAACGGAGTTAAAGTTGTCGTAGAGACTGCCAAGTAATCTTTTGTTTTGCACGTAAAAGATTTAAGATTTTCATCAACGGTTATTATTGGAATTAACCTACAAAATTCATTTTTATAACATTGGTTCTGATATGTTTCTTCTTGTGTAGGCACACTTAAAAGAGTTGATATTGGAACATGCACCTCCACCTCCAGCAATAGCAGAATTTGCAATTGCTAACTTGATAAAGATGGGCTTCCCACAAAGAGCAGCAGAGGGCTCTGTGGCCATTTGTTCATGTCACAAGGAGGCAAAGGTAGGAGCTGGATACACTTGTCCTAGGTGCAAGGCTCGCGTTTGTGAGCTACCTACAGAATGTCGCATTTGTGGGCTGACACTCATTTCGTCCCCTCATTTAGCAAGGTCTTATCATCATCTCTTTCCCATTGTACCTTTTGACGAGGTCTCTCTGTCACTACTAATTGATCAACAAAACAAGTTCCCTAGAGCTTGTTTCGGCTGCCAACAAAACCTTCTCGGTCCTGGTAAGTATGTATGTACATAAAATAGATACTTTGGAGCTTTTGGAATAAATTTGATAGCACTGCACTGCAGTATATTTTTGTATTCTTTTAGTCGTGTCTTTTATGATTGTTTTGCTGTCATTATGAAACAAGTGCATATGAAGAGACGAAAAGAATCCACTAACCAAAGACAACATGATCTCCAAAACAACTGTATGAATGAAATACTAAGTTCACAATCTAAAAGCTTAGCTATAGCTGTAATAAGATTGGACGTATTTAGCTTTAATGTATTCTCTTTCGGGGAAGATATCTACAGACTAGGCAATATTCTTGATGTGAATTACATGGTTCAATTCTATTAAACATCGGCCTTATTGTCTGACAGAAGTTACACAGGTCTGATAAGGAAGCTGTGGACCGTAGTGTTTTGGTTGTTTTATTGCAACGTGTTAGCAGATGCTCCCTTAGAAGCAGCAGCATGAAGCTGCTTGTGACTGTAGGAATAATAAGATACTTAAAGGGAGAATAAGAGAATAAAAGGCCTTTTCTTATCCCGCCAAAGAGATTCGGTAATAGAAAGGAAAGAGAGAAAGAATTACAAGTGAAAAGATGAAGCTGGAAACATTACTTCTAAAATCACAGGCAAAACCTTGCCTCTTAAACGTATATCCAAGTTATTCCTTGATGTCATATGTAAATCTTGCCTTTGTTGTCAGTTTCTGTAGCAGGCCTGTGTAACAGGTGGGATCGCCTCCCTATCTTACATTTGTTTTCACTGTATCTGACACAGGAAACAAGCCTGGCCTTCGGGTCGCTTGCCCAAAATGCAAACAGCACTTCTGCCTTGAATGCGACATATACATTCATGAAAGCTTGCATAACTGCCCAGGTTGTGAGAGCAGTAGGCGTTCCAGGATTCCAAATATAAATGAAGGATGAAGTACAGCAGATTTTAATACGATGCTGCCTCCACATATGCGCCAGTCTCGCACTTCTCTCCGTGGTACCCGAACGTATGACCTGGCTACTGTCACGGGTGCTAGTTGTTCAAGGCAAGCATCTACCGTGGTGGCTTTGGGGAGTCCGCGATACTTTCATTAAACGTTGCAAGAGAAAAAACAGTAGTGTTTACAGTACCATGAATCTGAGTTTCAAGAATTATTGACATATCGATAGTTTTAAGAGACAGGAATTTTTCTGATTTTTCGCCTTAATTCCAGTTGGAGAGATTTGTTACTGCTAACTTCTTAGAGGGGTATTTGTACTTGGATAGACCTGACTTCTTAAGATTGCTGCTGTCCGCCTTGGTTTTGATTCGAAGAGAATGGCATTTTTCCGACCTGTTTGTCGATAATTTTTAGATATGAATGGCAAGCTTGGTATCAATTTATTGATGGCTCTTCCTTGCCACAAATACCGTTGTGTTGAAAACGGACTCAAACGGTTAAACTTGGCAACAACTACTTACTTGGAAAGAATAATACTACTAGACTGTAGTACTAGCCGGCACCATCCAATGGTGGGGACATCATATGCGATGATAAATTGCATAAAACTGGCTGAAACAATTTCCACGATTGGGACTCCGGATTCAGAAATTACAAGAATTTCACCCATACATGGAAGTTGGAATAATCGATCGTGAAACTCAAATTGCATTCCAAATACAATGAACATATGACTTCCTCTATAATTTCTTTGTTGCCTCACAGGATCTCATCAATCACGCCTTATTCGTCGGCCTTCGGAGCAACGGATAAGTGCATTTCCCCTGTACTTTACACAAATATCGTGCCCCAACAGAAATGTACACCCCCAAAATAAAGAGTCATTAAAACCCTGACCAACCAGAAATATATCGATTATTTTCAAAAAATGACTATAAATAAACAAGTGGAAACCGAGTGAATATTTACAGGCTATTGCTTCTCACTATAAAACCGAGACGACGAAGCATCTATTTTCTTTTAATTTGTTTCGTAAAGTTTCCCCCACTACATCCCAGTTTTCCGGATTCTAATCACAATCTCCTGTACAACACCAGCACCGAACCTGCAGATCATTTCCGAGAGGAACTCGAACAATCCTGTCAGTTAAACAGGCATCCGAAGCACTTCTACTGATGCATAAGCAGGATAACAGAATATGAAAAAAAGGAATAAAACTCGCAAACCAATGGGAAATTTCTGCAGGTGCCAGCGCAAGTTTTGCGACAACGCAGTGTACTTGGATGCCCTGTATACTTGTATCGCTTTGTTCTACCTCGGATGCCTTGTGCCACACCAAAAACTTCATCTCTTGCCAGGAACCAAATGTCTGTCAGCATTCTTCCAACTATAAACCCAAAACTAGACTCTGTCTCAATCATAAGATTACTCCAGGATACGCTTTGAATCCCAGGGAGATAATAAGACAAAAAATCCAAAAAGGTAGTTCTCAAAACAAGTTCCAGTTCCACTAGTCAGAGTCCGAGTCAATAGAAAGATACAATCGCGATCTCACAGAACGTTTTTGGCGAGGAAATGAGAAAGGACTATTGGATCTTCGCCTACTTCTGTCAGATCCGCTACCATCATTCATACCGAGAAGCAAAGAAGCTGCAAAGGGAACAACAGTGAGCCTAATAATCTTTAATTTAACTGCAAAGAATGCCAAATATAGGAATGACAACAGTACAATGGGTGGGACGATTTCCATACCCCCTATATTGCTATACCCAGTCACTTTAATTAAGTTATCGACTTTTCAACTCTCTTTGTGGGTTTCCTAAGAGAAAGAAATCAATATTTACAGATGAAGACACCAGATACAAGTTGACTGTACACACAGGCATCCCTTTAGTTCTCTCTTAACCACTAATTACAAACTCTGACAACATAAACAAGGGAGTTTTAACGAAAAGCCCATGGTACTGTTCACTTTAACGAAAAACCACATTTTTACACTAAAAAGTCAATCCTGGTACTATTTACTTTACCCCTTATTTTGTCCTTATCAGTTAAACCCTTTTCATTAGTTATCCTCATAAACAAAGACGTAAGAAGAAAATTAGATGTGATTGTGTCTGATGTGATTGTATCACAGAGTCTGCAGCCTTAGTGAACATAAGAACTTCAGACTTTTCAAATAAGCTTTAGAGCGAAAGATGCACATGGACAGAGAGTAAGTGACAAGCTTGGGAAAAATAGGTCCTATTTGAATTGCAGATTTTACTTCCATGGAGTTCATGAACTTGAACATGTGATTCCACATGAGGTTGAGCTTCAAGAAGCTCAATAGCACTCACTTCATTACTCAAACTCGTTTATGCATCTTCCGAGACAGCACTCACTTATATCAGTGAAGCTTATTGACAGAAAGGAGATTTTTAGGACCTGAGATGGCACTCACTTAAGCATGTTTAAAATCTGTTATATTTTAGTTCCTTCTGGTTTTTAACACGAACACAAGCAAAAACCAAGATCAATTTGAAAGAACCACCAAAATCTAAAAAAGCAGAGTACAGACAGAAAATAAAATCTGCATGTGATGTGCTTAACGACAAGACTAAGATGTTGATACTGTTTCACTGGATTGATATCAGCTTGTACACATCAGATTACATGAATGAAGTATACAAAGGAAGAAAGTCAGTCACACTTTCAACCACTAGAATAAGTTAGACCTCTCTTAGCCTCAGATAAAAACGTTCAACTACCAGCATAGAAATTTGGAGTAGTAAAACTTCATTAAACAAAACTCAAACAGTATAAAACAATTTCAGCCAGGCCACCCAATTCAACTAAATCAAGAAAATACATAACAAATAGCTTGGATATATTTTCAGGTACTTGTAATCTTTTATCATTGTTTATTAATAAAACAACCCAATTAGTTTCCTTTGTAATCGAGTTTCTGCTTTTTAGAATTTGAGCACCCATAGTTGTGGAAGAAAAAAAAAAATACGAAACTAATTTTGCCGATAAAAGAGTATTCAAAAGTTCAAAACAAGGCTAGTAATTAAACATTATCTCAAAGAACATTACTGGTGCTAATTACACATCCTAGAAGGCTAGTTATGCAGGGGCAAAAAGATAAATGGAAGCAAATGCCATATACAGTCAAAAGTTTACATTCAACTTTTGTGAAGAGTAGAATTATCCTGAACAAATATTATAGCTTTTCTTTTAAGACTTGAGAAATAGTTGAAAGTCAATAACCTCATTCAAGAAGCAACATAACGTGGAAGTAGCACCTGCCTAAACTATATATAATGAATGTGCTACAACTGGCTCCTAAGACAATAAAAGAAGAAAGAAATAAAGATATTCCACTTCCTCCCTCCCACCACAAACTTTGTTTCACATCCAGAAAACAAGTCAAGAGTAACAGTTATATTCACCAATAAAATAAATCAGCGCTCAAACAAAACCCCACAATGAAAACAGGGATGCTGTGTCCATGTTTAAAATATTTGCATACCCATACAATCGAGCTACCTCTGATGCTAATCATGAACCAATCTAAAAGTCATTTGCAGCAAATCTGTCAGAAGAGGACGAACCTGTATCAGCCAAAGAATCCATGGCACCTTCTCTGGATGGCATTTGCACTCTAGTAGAATTCAAACCATTAGGAGTTGCTGATGTGCCATTGATGCCACTGGCGTCGCCCCCAAGCCTAAGAGATATCCAATCATCAGTGTGGACACCATTTGACATATCAGCCTGATCTCTCAAATCAGAATGAACTGATGCATCCGATGGTCTTGTGGGAAGAAAAATTTGAAGAGAAGGGTCATCACCAGGAAATGCCATTGGATAATCAACTAAGCCACCGTTCATGTCAACATCTGAATGTGCAACAAACGAATCAGGTAATAGGGTAGCAGATCCCATGGTAGTTTCTGGAGCCAGAGTGTATCCATTCATAGATGTGGAACAATGGATGGAACCATGCTGCAGACCACCTAGGGTATCCGGTACATCTGCCTCAGAAGTAAATAACTGGAACCCGGGGCCAGATTGAGTTCCGGGAGGTAATGATGGCCAGAATGGAATCAACTCATCATCATCATTGCCAAAAAGACCCATGCATGAGTTCCCACCAGTTCCAAGCGTGGGATCGCCACCAAATGAATCAGCAATTCCAGAAGGCGCCACAGGAAAACTAATCTCAGAAGCATCAGTTCTGTCATTCCTATATATGGTTCCAGAGGGCATTATATCATCATCAGAATCACTAAGTAAAACAACTTCTGCGTCTCCAACTGGTGCAGAAAGATTTTGTCCCGAAAATCCATACGCATTCAGAGAAAAAGAATCCATCTCAATCCCATTGTTAGTAGAGAAATCAAAGTTCCCACCACCATCCTGATTTACACTCGCATCTTCACCATCCCTACCACTTCCAGTGGCACTGCTGCTCATTGGGATAACTTTTAGCTCGTGGTCTGCAAACTGCTCTTGTAATCTATTACCAGAAGAAGTGTTCATATCTTCAGGTTTGCTGACTTCCCAAAAGCCGTTATGATTCTTCCTGATTCCAAGTTTCAATCCAGTACGACCTTCTGAAACACCTTCCAGTTTGACCAGCTTCAACACTTCTGTCTTTGGGATACTTTCTCCTTCTGTTGGGACACTAAGTGTGCTATCAGGAAGGTGCCACCGTCCAAGTTCCCCAAGCTCCCTACGATCACTTTCACTTTTAGTCTTAACTCGCCAAGAACCATCAGGCTTCACCTCAATCTCTGCTACATCCTCTCCACAATACCTCATCTGTTACAACCCCACGAAACAAAAATATAAAACAAAAAAAAAACAAAGGATGGATCAATTAGGTGATACTGTAGAACAAAAATATTATGTAGTGCATAAAAAGGCATTACCTTTGAAGTGATACTGTTGAAATAAGGGTCAATAATGACATTCTCCAGCGCATAGTTCTTAAGACAAATAGGGCATTGCCACTGCAATCACAAACCAAAGCATGCTAAACAAACAGAATAAAAAACAAGGACAAACAAACTGCATCGTTCACTTTGCAATTTGCATAGAAGCTTGCCTTCCTTGAACGTTGATTCATTTCCACAAAAACATCAAGATCAAAACAGCCAATGTGAGGGCAGGGCTTGAATCTCCCAGCAACCTTCATTCTTGAACCACTCATCTATAAAATATAAGCAGAAAAATACCAATTTCAGAAATCAAGGCATGAAAGATGTTAGCTGACATAAGAAAACTCGTCTCCTGACAATTTCTTTATGTACTACAGAAAAATAATTCAACACGAATTCCTAATACATCAAAGAAAATATAATTGCACCATAAAGAAGATATGTGAGTTAGAACAATTAGTGTCAGCATGTTCAGGCAAATAAAAGATTGGCCCATCACTAGTAGGGTGCTTTTCTTTGTCACAACCCTAGATACATCAGAACTTGGAAATCACTTAAAACAATTAGCGTAACACGCAACATAAAGACGTACTCCTGATATCAAAATTATAAGAATCCGAAGAAGTTAGAAGAGTCCCTTGGTTATTCATATGCTTGGCAAAATAAGCATTCTTCATACCCCAAGAGTTGAGATATTAATGCGTCTTGAGCTCATATACAAAAAATAAAATTCATCAAAGTATTATCAGACATTGAGTCATATCCTGACTGTAATTAAACTCCTACATAGAAGAGAGCATTTCATCGCACAAAAGGTAAGTTGGAAAGACAACTTACCGGACAACGTAGATTGACAGTAAAAGAATCTGCAACAACTTCCAAATCACTGTCACTGTCATCATTATCCATTGCAGTCCCACCACCAACAACACGACACACACGAGCAAGCGCATCTTCAAAACGCTCACCATCAGACTCCTTGGGAATCAGACTGAGAATCTAGAAAAAGAAAAATTTTAAAAGACCACACTAATATAATAAATGCCATGGAAAACCAATAACAGATACCATACAAATTTATACTTAAACATCGACAAGTACTGGAAGAAATATAAAAACGATCAAATCTACAAGAACAATAGTCCAGTAAATTATGAGATTGAGCTCAAAAAGTTAGCCATGTATAAATTCCTGCTTCAGGACATTCAATAAAGAAGATATTTTTTGTGCTTTTTATAAAAAGATTGTCGGCAATTCGACAGCAGCATAAATTTGACGTTATGGATTTAACATCTCCCTCACCAACAATCTTCTTCCGCAAGTTTCTTTCTCTGATTACCAGTTTTACAAACATATGCTGAAGAAGCTGCTCAACCACCCAAACGAACAAAAGAAATAAATAAAAAATCATAATTACCTGTTGCAAAGTGCGTCTCTTTGCAATACGAACCCCTAAGCAGAAAATACGGGCATCACATCTTGTTAAGGAAATCTTATTAAATCCGTCTTTCGTGTATGGTGTGATCTGACAAAACAACATGAAGTACACTAAGATACTAACACAAAAAACTTATTAAGTGTTTTGATTTACAGAGCAATCAGAAAAGCCCTGCAGTCACAATGCAAGTAATCTCATCTAAAATTGAAAGAAAGGATCCAGCACATGAAATGAACACTGACAACTAAAAGCTAATAATTTCATAAGAGAAAAACTCACAATTGGACCATCATCACGACCATTAGCACCAAGAAGTTGGGAGCCAGGTCTAAAGATCGCACGAACAGGCATACCTGCACATTATCCAGAACAATCTCCAATAATAAACAGAGCACATTCAAGTGGATACACTTGAAAAACCATTCCAAAGCAGCATCTTTAAAGACCAAATAAAAAATTCAGAACCACCATACCATTGACCTGTAGATCTGCATGTTGCGGCCATTGCATCCTGAATGCAACTTTGTCATTTAGAAGCATACACCAAACCTGCATTATGATGTCAAATCACCAATCAGTGAATTTAGTACTACTATAAACCCAATGATTCACCAATCATCAGTCAATACACTAACCAACCTGAACATCATATTCTTGTTTAGACAGCAAGTCCTTGTCTGCCCTTGTGAGTTGAAATGTTTTCTCCACACTTTGCACTGGATTCGAACTGGACAATTTGCAGGGGGATGGGGAACAAGATTAGATGTAAAGTAAAGCATTAAAAACATAGATAATGTGCAAATATTTTCACAAGGGATCTGCTTGTCTATATGTGAGTGTACATAGATACTTGTCACTTCATAAGGTTACTTCTACCTGTTAAAGCAAACTTCAAAGTCTTCATAGTAAATCAATGGAAAATAAGTACTTTCAGGCCACAAGACGTTTACTCTTTTGAATATACAGGTTCATTAATGGTTTTATGAGTTAAATGACATCGCGCACATGATTATGTATCATATTCAATGTATTAAAATGCGGAGGCGTAGGCAAGGCGTTCCATGGATAGCCCCGCATAGGAGTGAGGCATGAGGCAAAGCCTCACGGGACCTAAATAACTTAATATATATTGCATATATAATTATATATATATATATATAGCATAAAACTTCGTAAAACAAATATAATTATAACTAAGCCAAAGATAATATCTTCTTCATTACTAAGGTAGTTGTACTTGGAAATTTTGTCATATAGTCTTAAAATGTTATAATTATATATTTTATTCTAAGCAATTATAGTGAACTTCAAGAGAAATAAGGCTAAGTGGCCACAATTATAGAGAGTTTGAAAGGAAATAAAGGCAGAATGTCGCAATTATAGGCAATTCAAAAGGAAATAAAGGCTAAATGGAGCTATTATAGGGAACTTAAAATGAAATAAAGATTGAGTGGAGCAATTATTGTAGGGAATTTAAAGGAAATAATGGCTGAGTGGAGTAGTTATAGGAAATTTCAAGAGAAATAAATCTTGGCCAATCAAAATGCTAGGTGGCAGAATCTGAATGGGCAATAATTAATAAAGAACAAAAAAAATAAAAAAGAGTTAGAGTTAGACTTTGCCACTAGGATTTGGAGAGAGAAACTCTCTCTTTCTTCTTCCTTGAAACTAGAACGGCACACAGAGGAATGGCAGAAACAGAGGAACGGCAGAAATAGACCTGGAATTGGAAGGAAAATAAGGCCCAACTGAAAGCCTGGGCGCGCCCCGACGCCGCCTTACGCCTACCCTCACAAAACAGAGGCGAAAACCCAGCAGCCCCGCCTCCAAGGGTGCCTAGGCATGCCCCAAGGCTAGTTTTTTAAATATTTATGATGGTTAGATATCATACACAATGTAATGTCATCTTCAGAACGAACTTAACTGTTGGAATTAGGATCTTATTACTCAGTGCATGTGCACATTCAAGAGAAATAACTATAAAAAATGAAACATGATCCACTCACCCATCAGTTGGAATATTTGTAGGATTCAACTTAACGGGCTGTAAAGGATGTTGAATGGTTACCCAGAACCTGAATAAAATAGACAAACAATTAAGCCAAAGTAAGCATAAAAAAAAAGATAGCATAAAATGGGGCAAAGTATTTGCAATGTTAAAATAAAACATAAGCTAAGTGAGGCAATAGTTACATAAAACAAATAAAGTGAAAGTATTCACTCAAACCAAAATACCATAACCTGATATAAGTAGAAACCATCACATAGCCATAAATCCTAGTTACTGAGTTTGACCCACCATACTGAAGCTACTAGTTAAAATAGGTATATTTTAAAGAAAGTCAAGATACAACAAATACAAAATTTAAAATAAAAATAAAAAAAAAAGAAAAAAACACAATATAATGGAAAAAGCCATGCCATCAGCATAATGATTGTGTTGGGACCAAGAAGAATCCCTTTGGCTACTTATCTCCAATTAAAGTCATGCAGTCCACTAAATCATACCACATGATAATCCTCCCACCCCCTCAATTCAATTCAATGTACACGTTGCCATTCTAGCTAGTTTATTGTTCAAGTGATACTAAAAAATTCAAGCAATCACAACGAAATATACTATGGGCCAAAGTGAGACCTAGTTTTTTGTTTGAGCAAAACTTCAGCACTTTTATAAAATATTGAATTGTTCAAATGGTACATAAACTGAGTAGAGCAGGTTATAAGGGTTATAAATACAAAATAAAAATCACTTTCATCATGTTAACATCACCATATGAAAGATTTAGCCCAATTTTAAAATGGGAAAGAAGTTGGGAGAAAGGACTAGCAAGTATGAGTTAAACAAACCACCCAATGTCCCCACAAATGCAAAAACAATGAAGGAAAACAGATGGCTTGGCGAATGGTTACATGCGTAATTCAAAATAAGACACACAAAAAATAACAAGCTATAATCAGTTTCTTATAACAAGAAAATACTGGTGCCACATACGGATCAGCCCGACTTAGTCGACAAAGTTCACAATAAAATAACTCAGGAACTGGTGGATTGCCTTCCATAGGTTTCTCTGGAACTAAAACACAACCCATGTGTTGCCACACTTGGCATCTTGGATCTTCACACTGCCATTGAAGGGATGAGAAATTGCAAAAACCATAAGAAAGTGCAGTAAAGGTGTTCATATAAGAAATGTTTCATGTATAATCAAATGAAAAAAAGGATAGGACAAGTAAAAGACTCGTGATTAATCAAATGTGCTACAATCCAAGGGAACGAGGAAGAAAATACAAAAAATTGTAGACTACCTTAATCATTGACTCTGTCTCTAATGAATTCCCGCAGAGACAGCGAACCTTTATATCTGACTGGTAGGGATCCTCAATTTCGCCTTTTATTTTCACATTACTACTATCAGAGATGCATTGTCCTTTTGATGCTAAATCAGGGGCACCAGAAATCTGCATTTTCCTAGAGAAAACAGAAAACAAATACAATTCAGTCGAAATAGCATAGTAAAACATGTAGTCTGAACAAATAGAGAACTATATATAAAGCACATCTGAGGACTTCAGCTATACATTCAGTATATTTTACAAGGAGTAAGTCAGTTTTACAAAGTTAAAAAAAGAAGGCAACGACAACTCCAACCCTTCAATAAAATCATGCAACAAATATGTGGCATATTAGCATATACGAGGACAAACCTATAGATGCCATCTACAAGTTCCGCCACCTGTTCCTTTCCAACTGCATTCTTCCTTGCCCACATTTTAGAAACTGTAGATAAATCGAAATAAACAGAGTAAAATATTTTAATGATCAAAGCAAAGAAATGTAAACGCAGAAAAATGGAGCACAACCAAAACCTCAAAATAATGCAGACATATTGTGGTGTCATAAACTACAATAAAAAAAGTGTTTCCAAAAGAACCAGACCAGATAAAATATAATGAAAACACAATCATTAGAAAAATGGTTTGGAGCATAGAAGCTGAAGGCCTGTTTGGCACTGCTTTTGGAATAGCTAAAAGCACTTTCAGCGGTAGTTAAACGAAATAACTAGAAGTGCTTCTGTGCAATAAAATTATTTTTAGTGCTTTTCCGTTGTGTTTCTTCTGTAGGAAGCATTTCCAAGAAGCACTTGAGTTTTTAGTAAAAATTAGTGTTTCTAGCATAAGCGCTAAAAACCCTAAAACCATAGAGAGGTCGAGAAGCAAAGTTCAGCGCACAGGAAAAAGGAACAATAACTAGGTTCGAAAATTTTGGAAATTAAAAAACTATTCAGATTTAGAATGACTTGATTCTCTATCATGAGTATGTCTCAAATTTTGAACGATTGGATGACAACCCTTTAACCGAAAGCTGAATGATTAAAAGAACTGTGGATAACATCAAATTTTAGTTTTACAAGATTTAAAACTAAAATGTCTTCAATGGTTTTTTTAACCAGAAAATGCTCTTTAAGAGAAAAAACAGCTGCTTTCCTAAATCTAAGATTCTAAGACACCAGATAAATGATCCTGAACGTTTCTTGGTCAGCCAAATAGAAGACAAACTGCAGATGAAAGCCACTTCTAATTCTTCAGCGCGACAGCATAATGAATGCTAAAAAGATGTAGCATGTTCATTAACATCAAATGTCATATGAACTACATCAATAACTTATGACACAATCAGTTCTCATTTCCTATGCTTTTATTATAGAACCCAATTAAGAAACAACTACTTCTTATATCTTATCTGGCTGGACGAAGAAAAGGAACTATGAAATACGTGCACTGGGCTCCCCAACATATAAGCTACACTTATAAAAACAGATAGCATACAGAGACTGTTATCGTAGCAATTAAATCATCTGAACCAGGAAAAAGCAGTTGGTATAGAACCATTTACCTTGTTCATCAGAAAGAAGCGCTAATATCCGGTCAACAAGATCCTGTATAATAGAAATTGGTAAATCAGACAACGGTCTTCTCTTACGACATTCATCTCAAAAACGTTGTAAAATGGCATCCCAAGATACCATCGTAAAGGGTAAGCTAATTATTATGCAATGAACAGGTCATATTTGGTCTTAGGTTCGCTTATATTACACATTTTTCTGGGGTGGGCAAAGTAAGAGGGAAAATTAACTAAGCAACTCTTGGTAGTCATTGAGAACTCTATATAACACATCATCCAACCTTGATAAATTACACCTAAATAAATATGCAGAATATAATAGGACCTCTCATACTTTATAGGAGTATTGACATGAACAATGGAACCCACATCAACATGAATTCCTGTGAACTCAAAAAAAGTACGCCACATAAGCATAAAATGCAGTGCAATGGTGAGTACATAGATAACATCCACTATATAAAGGAATGAAGAGGTGAGTATGTAGATAATATCCACAATATACAGTAAGGAACCCAACATCACATCAGAGAGTGGTATTTCTAGCATCTCACCTGCTTCTTCCCCTGCTTCGAAAGACCTAATTGGGTGAGAACATCTTTGAGCTCTTTTATTCGAAAATATGCCAATTTTTCCTGCAATGACAAACAAAAGTTCTAATAAATTCACTGCTTCAAGAAGTGGCATCCCACCAGTGTGCACACCAAAATAATAGTAAGCAACGTCTGGACTTCCTAAAATGTAATTAAGAAGCTAAAGCAATCTTTTCTCCAAATTCTTATTTTGTTTATGCTATGAACTATCGTTGGAATTCTGAAAGAAACAAGTCACTAGGTTCTTTAACAAATAAACCATGATAACAGATGCAATGTTTCAAACCCACCAAAAAAAAACTTGGGTATCCAATACAAGTGGGTACATATAGCACAATCTCTTTACTTTTCTCAACTGAGTTAGGTATACAGTACAAGCAAAACTGTCTACATATTATGTATTTCACAAGTTGAATATAATATGAAAACAGTCTCAATGAACTAAACGCTGTGAAGGATACTTTAACCTCAAGGGAAAAGAAATGGGACGGGAAAAAGAAAATTAAAACTTCCAACCAAATGCGTAACTAGATTTACAACTCTTTCTTAGAAGGTAAATCTCCACCATCCAACAATTACTTGCGAACTACTCGTGATCAACTGTATTCATATATCTTCGCTTCTTCTCATTTCTCTACTTCAAAATACCCAAACTCATTTTTCTTATCTCATCTATTCACACCTTATGCAGGTCACACGAACAACACTAAGTGTAAAATTAACCAAAAACAAAAAAGTTGTCATTTGAGAAATAACCCAACTACATTATATCATCTATTAATTGGATAACAGAAAAAACTAAGTGGCACACACCTAAAGCTACTTATATGAGCTTATTTCCGCTGATGCATTCAATAACACCGCCCGCACGGCGCATACTAGTTCACTAAATTCACTAAAGTAAAACGATCCCGCCATTGACTGAACTCGCAAAGTAAAGCAAACTTACTGAGGCTAATGTTCAACCATATGCAAAAACTGGACTACAAAATTACTTTTTCCAGCAAATTTCAGCAGATATAACAATAAGCATCAAGAAAAAAATAATCAAATCGAAAAAAAAAATCAACTAAATACCTTGCAACTAGTTACCAAATCCATTTTCACCGCCAAAAATTAAGGCCCAGAAAGTACAAAATCTCCTCCGGACCAATAATTTAATCAACCATCAAACCAGCACATAACCTCCCCAGGGACCGATCTATCCACCAAAAAAAAAAAACCAAAAAATTAATCAAAATTCCAAAAAAATTAAAATTAAACCATCTCAAGTTCTCAACTGATAGTCCTGAGTTGAGCAATCGCATGCCAAAAAAAAAAAAAAAAAAAAAACCCCAAAAAATGAAATTCTACTTTGCCTGATCGAATTGGGGGAGGGAGTCTAGGGTTTTTCCCAAACACCGACTTTGTGATACCGCTCTTTGTTCTTCGTCCCCGTAAATGATATTGCGTTTTTTCTCTTTTTTGACCGAAGACCCCCACCAACCAGAACCGATCCCCCCCAATAACAAAGTACGGACCTATCGCCGATTATCCAATCCGTTTTTTTTACGGGGAACGCGTCCGGGTTCGGTTTCGGTGCGCTCACGTGTCAGTGCGCCACGCCCGCATTTTGGACTCGGGTAAATTCGTACGGTTGGGACTCATCGGTCTGATCGAATGGGGTCCACGCCACTCTGATCTTGCCACGTCATAATTAAAATAATTAATCTGTTTATTGTTATTAAAAATTAATAAAGCGTCCAATTAGGTGTCGATCAAAGAGGACTGGAAAAAAGACCGCACGATGAGAGAATCGGGAAAGCAGGAGGAATGAGAATGAAACCGGAGGATCCTTTTTTATAGGAATTCTAGAGATTCTGTCATCGTGTCTATTAATCGTATATTATACGATTAAAAATATTTAAAATTTAAAATTTAAATATAAATAGTAATTAATCAAAATTGAGCGCATAATGTTTAACACTATTGCTGGATCCTTAAGATCCCTAACAAAAAGATCATAAGAGAATCCTTTTCGCCTGTGGGTCCCGCACAAAACCAATTTTTCCTTTTTATTATTTGTCTGCATGCAAATAACTTTATTTTTATTAATTAATAAAATATTTATTGTCAACCAAAATTTTATAAAATTACCGGTTTAACCTTCTAATTAAGACAGAACATGAATAAGAAATATGAGGCATAAATTTAATTTCACACAACCAAAATTTTGTTATTTTTTTTAAATCATCACCTACATGTAATCTTAACATATCTCTAATTATAAAAATAAAACAAAATAACAAATTCTCACTCTCATGTTTCTATCACTCCCTCCATCTCTCCTTCTATTTGAAAAACAAAAATACAAAATTTTTCTCACACACTTTATATGTGTCTATATGCTAATTTATTTTTATCAAAGGAGAAAAAAGAGTGTTGAAGGGCGGACGGGAAACTCCGAGCGCCGCGTTAAAAAAGAAGGACGAGAAGAGGTGGGGCCCCGCACCATGGAAGGATCGGGAAAGTCCGCCGTGTAGAGAGAGATCTCCTCCTTTCCGTGGAGTGGAGAGATCCTCTCTTTTTGTGGCTCACTCACACTATTCATGATAAATTTGTTTATGTTATAAATTATTTTATAAGTATCATATCATCATATTCGCAAAATTTTAATTAAAGTTATTTAGTTAATTAATCAAAGGCACACAGTTATTCTGGTTAAAAGATGTAATTATGAAACTCAGACTCAGGGTAAAGTGGTTGACGAAGACCTAGAAAGACTTGGAAATAAACTCTACAAAAAAAGCATGGAGTACTTAGAGCAAAAAAGAGCGCAATAACGTTTTAGGATTCATACAGCTAACTCCACTTAGTGGTATAAGTCTTTTTTTGTTGTTGTTGTTGTAGCCAATCAACTCTAGTAAACAGATAATTTATAATAATACAATATCTTACCATAAGCATAAATTCCTGAACTAATCATGAATTGAGAATTAACTCATCTTGATCGTTTGAGTAGCCAAATCTAAACCTGGCATCCGTGTCGTGTTTTTTGTGTTCATGTCGTTTTCATGTCATACCCAATATCTTAACAGATCGTGTCGTGTAACACCGTTAAAATAAACGGATAAAATAATCCTATCCAAAATCGACCCGATAATATTAACAGGAAATATGATCCGACGCGTTACCTGTTAAAGAAAAAAAAAACTGATGTTTTACAGCAGCACAGCAGCTGCACAGATTGAAGAAACTTGTCCGCAGGGCAATACTCTTCATAATAAGTTGATAATAAGTTGATGATGAGAAAACCAAAAAAGAAAAAAACAGTTGGTATATGAATAGGGGTTGTGGCATTTCTTGCAGCCATGGATATCATGGCTGAGCAATTTCCTAGAGCCTTCTTTGGGTATTCTCGACAGGTACTTCACTTTTCCCTTATAATTTGTTACCTGATGCTAAATATATTATAAGAGAGAGTCTAATTATTTGATAAAAAGGATAATTTTCAGTATAATATTGACATTCAAATGAAAAGAATGAGAAAATGCCTTGCGTGAAGAATGAAATTCAAATAGCAATTAGCTCGAGAACTACAGTCCAATTCAAATCGAAAACCAATATTAGAATTACATACTTCCTAATAGATTAAACTACATGCATCCCAATACATCCCAGATAACAATTAGCACAAGAAATAATGCAAAATTTGGGAAGGACTAGGTTTAAGCATCAATTAACACGAAACCTTAACAAAAACTAGAAGAAGAAAAAAATCCAAATCTGAAAACGCAGTTCTTGATCCAAATTCCAATTAAATTCAAAATTGCCTACTCATGTTGAAATCCCAATCCCAATGGACCAACCCAGCTTTTCAATTTTTGGAGAAGTAGACTTACGGTAGCAGTGTCATCGACGGTTGTGGTGTTGTCGAAGAGGAGAGGGTTACGGGAGTGGGGAGAGAGAAAGGGATTAGGGCTTTCGTTTTGATCAAATGGTAAAATTGGAAAATAATGGAATAGAGAAGGGGTTTTTTTCATCCAAAAAAGTTATAATAATATAAGTGACATGAAATCCAACAGTATAGATTTACTCTCGTATCTTAAGGCTATTATTTAAGTAAAGTCTTTAATAGTTTTTTAATTAATGTAGAAGTGTAAAAAAATATAGAAAAAATATGTAAACGTTCGTAATGGCAAGCTTTACAACTTTCGTGAATAGCTTAACTTCGAAATTTGTCACATCCCCACCCGGGTCCCCACCACATCCTAGACTCGACTCCACCGTAACACAATATTATCCGATTTGGGCCCCGACCACGCCCACACGGTTTTGTTTTTGGGAACTCACACGAGAACTTCCCAGTGGGTCACCCATCATGGGATTGTTCTCGCACGCTACTCGCTTAACTTCGGAGTTCTTATGGAACCCGAAGCCAATAAGTTTCCAAAAGGCCTCGTGCTAGGTAGAGATGAGAATATACATATAAGGTTTATTAGATCCACACCCCTGAGCGATGTAGGATGTTACAATCCACCCCCTTTAGGGGCCCGACGTCCTCATCGGCACACTTCCGGCCAAGGATTGGCTCAAATACCAAATTGTCATATCCCGACAAGGGCCCCACCACATCCCTGGCTCAACTCCACCGTAGCATGATACTGTCCGCTTTGGGCCCCGACCACACCTTCACAATTTTGGTTCTAAGAACTCACACGGGAACTTTCCAGTGGATCACCCATCGTGGGATTGCTCTCACGCGCTACTCACTTAACTTCAGAGTTTCGAAGGAACCCAAAACCAATGAGTTCCCAAAAAAACTCGTGCTACATAGAGATGAGAATATACATATAATGCTTACAGGATCTACACCCCTAGGCGATGTGGGATGTTACAAAATTCACTATTATAATCATATAAGTCATAGATCAAAATTTAATCGCTGATTGTTGTTTATATTTACGCTTCATTTTTCTCATCAAATTTTGTTTTTTTTTTCTTCAGATTTTCTTTTTTGAAAGCATGAACTATTAGAGGATGCAGGAAGATGAACGGTTTGGATTATTGATAGAATATTCAGAGTTTTACGGTTAGTGAAAATATTGTTTGATGTTTATCAAGTTTCTACAAACTATATGACATCAACTCATATTTCAGTTAACCGTAAATATCGAAACTTGATATCAAAGATTTGAACCATTCATCTTCTTACATCCACTAGATGATCATGTTTTTAAAAAAGAAAATTTTAAAAATGAAATTCAGTAAGAAGAATAAAGCTAAATGACAATCGACGATTAAATATATATTTAAGGTTTATGGATTATAGTGTTAGATTTAGAAGCTGACCATCTCATGAAAGTTGTAAAGTTTATCACTATGAGTGATTGTATATATTTTTTTTTATATTTTTTTACACTTCTACAATAATTATTATTAATTTTGCCCTAAAATAAAAACCATTATTCATGAGGGTTTGGAGGTTTTAAAAATCTAAACGATAATGTAAGTGTAACCATTATTTACTTGTGGAGGAATAATGACGAATCACGAGTGTTTATATATTCTTTCACATTTTTTATACTTGTATGTATGTCTTCTTAGTTCTTGCCTATACAAATACTATACTAGTTTATTTTAATTTTGGACAACAACATGTTAAGTAAAATTTAACCTAGTAATGATAATAAGGAATTCTCATAATAAAAATGAATAATGACTAAATTTTTTTTTTATAACTTATATAGAATAATTATACAATACTATATATTTAATATAGAATATATTGTATATATTAATATGGCTATTGTAGTTTATAATAAATCTTTTAGTAATTAAACTTTAAAATTATCAAAATAATTTTTTTCTTAACAGGTCGAAATGGGTTATGTCACATCCCCGTCCGGGGGGGGACCACTTCCCGTTCCATCACCGTAGCACGATATTGTCCGCTTTGGGCTTACCATTCCCTCACGGTTTTGTTTTTGGAAACTCACGAGCAATTTCCCAGTGGGTCACTCATCATGGGATTGCTCTAACCCCTTTCTCGCTTAACTTCGAAGTTCCTACGGAACCCGAAGCCAGTGAGCTCCCAAAAGCCTCGTGCTAGATAGGGATGAGAATAACATATAAGGATCACTCCCCTGGACGATGTGGGATGTCACAATCCACCCCCTTAGGGGCCCGACGTCCTCGTTGGCACACGACGGCCAGAGTAAGGCTCTGATACCAAATTGTCACATCCCCGCCCGGGGGGACCACTTCCCCGGCCTATTCCACTACCGTAGCACGATATTGCCCGCTTTGGGCTTACCATTCCCTCACGGTTTTGTTTTTGGGAACTCACGAGCAACTTCCCAGTGGGTCACCCATCATGGAATTGCTCTAGCCCCTTTCTCGCTTAACTTCGAAGTTCCTACGGAACCTGAAGCCAGTGAATTGTCACATCCCCGCCCGGAGGGGACCACTTCTCGGACTCGTTCCACCACCGTAGCACGATATTGTCCGCTTTGGGCTTACCATTCCCTCACGGTTTTGTTTTTGGGAACTCAAGAGCAATTTCCCA